AAAACGCGCATTAGGTGACATAGATCAGAATAATGAAGTCAGTTTCACATAAGAAATCCTTGTTCAAAGGGCGAAGATGTTGTCTCCACATACTATTGCATTTGTTCTGTAGATACATTTACTAGAAGTGCTAGATGGCGCTAGTAAGTATATTGTTGTTGTGGTATTTGGCAAGAAGAAAAGATAATAAAAAAGGAGTTATCTCTAGTGATCCTCTGTTCCTACCTGTGTGTGTGTAATGCCTGCTGAACCAACACCACACAAGAAGGTGCAAGCATCACAGCAGTGATGCAGTCAAAGTAACTGAGGATAAAACAGAAAAATGTGAAAAATATGAAGGAGATTTTCCTGACCTGGCTTTCTCCAGATTATGGCTTTATAGCACATAACCTTAAATACAGTGGATCTAAAAATGAAGAAAACCATGAACCAACATATGAACATTACCTGATGCTGCTGAAGTGAAGCAGAGCAAAGTTACAGAGGTTTTATTAGAGACACAGCAATGCATTTTGCAATTTGGCATCATTTTGAACAGTTTAAATTTCTTCAGTATTGAACAGCAGAAATTAGGCTTTCCTGTCAAAGGTCATTTTTGAAGAAAACAAAAAAACAAACAAAAACAATAAACAGTGTCCGACAGCGCTGGAAAGAAGGGTAGACTGATGTGTTATAAGCAAGCGAATAATGCAGAAAGCTGATATTTGAGATGGGAAACTGGTCTTTAAGTACACTGAGAGAGAGAGCTGTGCATGGCGTAGGATTTTTATCGTGGTGGGAACAAAACAGCCAAAGATAGAGGGAATTCATGATGATGTTCTTCAAATGTGATACGTAGTTTGGATCTTCTTTTGCTGCTGGTTCAGTGAATTTTGGTGTGACAAAACCTGCAGCTTCAGAATCTGTATGATATCGGCTTTCAGCACCCAAAAACATGCACAGGTACATACTGTCGAGTGACCGATCTGCGCTCTGTGTTTACATCTTTCTGTGGAATCCGTTTACCTGCT